TAGGTCTTAGAAGGATTTTTTCATTTTTAATTTTTTTGGATGGCTTTATTATCATTAGATGAACAATATTAATAATAATAACAATAATTTTGAGTTTATAAAGTCTACGATCTTGAAATTCACAAAATGAATGGTCTAGATTTGTTTTTAGAGGGGACTCATTTTGACCATATCTAGGGTTCAAATTGAACTTTTTTTTGGGGAGGGGATTGATTATTGAGATGAAAAAAGTACGTGTACAAAATTTGAGGTCATACAAATACCACAAACATGATTTTTTAGTAGTGTCGTTGCATTATACCATGATACAACCATTGCATTGGATCATTACTCTATAATAAAAATTGAAGGTGCACCTTAATTTGATTGTTTAAGATTGCCACGCAAACTGCACCTCATGAAATGTCTAAGAATACTTCTTAATTAGGAAAATAAGAAATTTCCTTTAAATGACACAATTGTCAAGAGGAAAAGTCCATTTTCCTGTTGTGTTGCCTCTGATATTTTTAAATAATTGTGAGGATAGTTTGGACATTAGGGTATTTGGAGAAATGCCACGCTACGTTGTGTGGTGGTTGGCCACATAAAATACAAATTTGGATGCTTGTGAAAAAGAACAAAATAAAGCGCCGCGCCCCTTGACATTCCTTGTATGCTTATGGGGAAGAGCGGGCCCACTTGCACAGTACTACACATGTGTGCATATTAGGGATGCACACTTGTGATGCTCACAGCCATCCATTAGGTTGTCTTAGTGCAAACTTCCAAGTCAATTTATTGAGGGTGACAATGGCCTCAGCCCGGCCATGAAAATCTAAAGCCTTGGCTACAAAATTTGGTATGAGGGCTAGGCTAGTGCTGGGCACCTACGGTTCAAGGGTAATGTTGGGCCTCAACCAACATCAGCCTAGCCCTATGCTCGTTTTTTTTATTTTTTTATTTTGTTTGTTTTCAATTTTATTTGTTTTCAATTTTATTTGTCCTTGCCCGGTTCGGCCCCGCCTTGATAGAGCTAGGGCCAGGACATGACTACAGCTTTTATGGCTAGGACCGGGCCGGGCTTGAGCCACCCCTTCGCTGGCAAAAGTTGCTCGTTTGGATTCGCATCGCACTGCTGCATAAACAATCGTGCTGGACTGGATGAGCAACCATCTCTGAAAAGGAAGAGTTCAAAGCCATGTAACTTGGATCTGAAGTGTAAGCTTACTAGTAAGACCAACCTTGGCTTTGGTAAGCTTTCTTATTATTAGATAGGCATGGTTGCTTACAAGACAAGAGCTAGCTTCTAGATGTTCTTCGCTTGGAGCTAGGGCTAAGTTAGGGCCAAGGGCGGCCAGCCCAAGTCCGGCTCCTTGGCATCCCTAACGTTTATAAATCTCCGAAAGACCGATTATGTGTGTTGTCTAAGAAAAAAAAATGTAAAATTACATAATCATCCTAAATACCATAGTTTCAAAAAATCCCCCAATTTTTAAATATTATGTGTTTATTTTTTCTAGTTTATTTTTTTATATTTATTTTGCAGTAATTTCGGATATTGAAAATCCAAAGTCACAAAATTAACTTATAACTTCAAATTTCCAACGTTGCAGCCACAAGATTATCGTGTGACTTCAGATTTCCAATAGCTGGAGTCACAAGTAACCCAATTAGGACATTGGATTACCTTTTGATTTCGGACATTGGAAATCTGAAGTCATACGTAACTTTGTCACTTAGGGTTTTCAATATTAGAAGTGAGGGTAAAATGGGGTAAAAAAGTGGACCAAAAAAGATTATGCATTTAATATTTAAAAATAATAAAAATATTGTATAAGGTTGACACCTTTAAATGGAGAATTACGTTGTATATCAGGACGACTATTTTGATATTGGAAAAGCATCTAATTGATCATCTCGGCATCAAGATGTATGGATATAAAAAAAAAAAAAAAAGATTTCTAGGTCCAAAAAATAATCTGCAACACATTATCTGGACTGTCTATATTCAAGATTTTCATGCATTTATAGATCTACTTGTTTGAACTATTTTTAGAGTTTAAAATTTTATAATTATATATGAAAATAGATTTTCGGGCCATCCTAAAAACTTTACGATACCAAAACTGCGTCTCATGACAAAGTTAGGAGGTGCACCTCACTTGGATTGTTTAAGGCTGCAATCTTATGCAATCCTCACCCTTCAAAAATTGAGGGAGATTTTAGTTATTACTATAAATTTATAGGATATGTGGGTAATTTTTTCATCTTTTAATGAACATACCAAAAATTTCATTCATACCAAAGGATCTTACATCATTATTGTAAATACAGAGAGAAATAATCAACACCATAATCAATGCTCTTACCACTGCCTCTTCACAGTACACACCTTGCTTCACCAATTCATCAGCTTACCATTTGCATCCATATATACATGTACAAATAAAACAGCCACCATGTCACAAAAATCAGGTATTTGAAACAAAATCGTTCTAAGCACTTTTTATTATGTTTGACAGCATTTAATAGCATTTATTGAGTCTCCTACAACAACCACAATACCCATCTCCATATCTTTAGTACTTCTAATACCGCCACCATCTCTACCTCATTAGCTCTTCCTGTGCCTTCAACATGTCACTCACTATGCTGAATTGATTGATCATATATTGCTGGATATTGGTGCTTCAAAGCACATTCACCAAGCCTCTTGTGTTGCCAGAACAGTACATATTCTCCTTGCCCCACTATAATTCTCAAATTCCTTTCCAGATATGGTTTACAACCAGAGATACCTCTCCAAATTGATATCAGTATATGCCCTCTAGTGTCCCATTTTCCATTTAATTTTGAGTAATTTTTGTTGAATTGGAGTCACTTATGTCAGAAGCATGGCCATCAAGGCAATTTTGGCAGAATTACTCAAAAGATGATAATGGTGACCGCTATTTTATATGGAGATGCAAAGTTGGATATGTGATCCATGATGAGCAACTCACCTGATAGCTCACCCAACTCCCTCGATTGGAACCTTATGGCAATGGTGCCCAATCAATCAGTGATGCTTATTCCAGTTGGGAGAGAAGAATATATCTGCCAAGCACGTACTGTTGGCTACTAGAGAAGGTGGCAATCAAGTTGGTTTTTGATTGGTCGGAATTGCCGCCACTCACCTAGCATCAGAGTGCACGAACTGAACTAAGATTTTCCATCATTATATGTAACACTAGTGGCAAGCTCGTCGACGATACTAGCAGTAGCATCGATTTCTGATTCGTCAAATTTATGGTTATACCCATGAGCATGAAGCATGCAAGTCGGACAAGGAGATCATAGAAAAAGTGGAAAGGGCCCAATGCCACTCCATCCTTGAGCCAAAGGGCGTTGGCTCAAATTGACCTTTTCAAGACTGAGTTCTAGGGTTCATAGTGGAAACTATATAGGGTTTTTCTTTTTGTTTGAAACTTGGGGCTTCTTAAATTGTTCAGGGCTATTCACTCTTTATTATTCAATAGCCAGTTCTTCACCACCCCACATGCATCTATTTCATTCATCTATTCTTCATCAATGTCTAACATTTTAAGTCCCCCGGACCGTCCAGATCACTAAAGCACTTCTATTGCCCTTGAGCTTCGATTACCCGCACTTCTATTGCCCTTGAGCTTCGATTACCCGGCTGAACCAAAGAAGCCTCCAAATCTATAATAAGGAAAAAGATTATATAAGCACTTCTATTGTCCTTGAGCTTCGATTACCCGGGTAAACCAAAGAAGCCTCCAATTCTATAAGGAAAAAGATTATCTAAGGTTGTCACCTTAAATTGTAGAATTAAGATAAACTCCAAAATCTATCCAAATGATATTTTCATGTTGAAAAACCATCTAATTTTTCTATTTTTTATTTTTTAAGCCCCCGAACCATCCAGATCACTAAAGCACTTCTATTGCCCTTGAGTTTCGATTACCCAGCTGAACCAAAGAAGCCTCCAAATCTATAATAAGGACAAATATTATATAAGATTGACATCTTAAATTGTAGAATTAGGATAAACCCCAAAAATTCTATTAAAAGGCTCTTTTCATGTTGAAAAAACGATCTAATTGATCATCTCAAACTCATGACGCAGGAATATGGGAAAAAAATAAAAAATAAATAAATTAATTAAAAAGATTTGAAGTCCCAAAAATAGCATATCTTGCAATATATTATTTGGAGCTTCCATTTTAAAGATTTTAATGCATTTATAAATCTACTTGATTTGAACCATTTTTTGACTTCAAATTTAATAACCAAATGTGTAACCAAATATGAATATATATACTCAGACTATCTTAAAAAAATTTGACACTAAAGATGCATCTTAAGACAAAGTGCCTTACTTTGGTTGTTTAAGGTTGCAACCTAATGCAAACCACGCCTTACTTTTAAATCCTTCCATCTATCAAAACCAAAGTGGCCTACCTTTTTCACTAATCTACATTCCGACTCCATTTTGTTGGCTCTGTTTTGTTTAACGTAAACCAAATTGGCATTGAATTTTAATTTTGCCTCTAAAGTGCCGTGTCCAGCTTCGCTTACCATGTCAAGGTCTCCATGTTCAAGCAGAACAGAACCTAATCAATATTTCAGGATCATTTACAATAAATGGGTGGACATTTTCATAAACTCCCAAAAGAACAAAGCAATTTATTCACCACGCATTTTACAGATTCCTATTTTATTATAATAGTAGAAATTGGAAACTATTTTGCGAGATAAGATATACCAACAAATAACTGTCAATGATACATCACATTCTCTCTACTTTCTCCCATTTCAAAGTAATTTTCGTTCATGACATACGAACCAAGCGATATACATTCCAACACTAACAATCTAGTCAGGGTGATATCATGCCATAATTTGACGTCTTGAGTTCTATTTCTATCAGAGGTAAGAAAAACAAAACCGATCACTAGCAATCTCATATACACTTCATAGGTGCTAAACACACAAACCTCTCCTCTCTTGCAACCCCCACCCCCCTTTCCCTCTCTCTTCCTTTCTCACAAGAAGCATAAACCACTTGATGGGAGATCGACCAATCAGCCCCGCCTCACTGATACAATGCTCCTCTTTGGAGCTCTGCTAATATGAGGTCGGGACCAAGACGAGGGCTTAGTCGACCCTAGTAACATTGCATTAGCAGCAGATGCCTTTATCTTTCTTCTCTTTTCCATGAGCTCGAGTTTCCTTTTTATGGACTCGGATCCTGAGGACTTAGAAAAAAGTGGCTGATTATTGATTGCATCCCTTCTCTCTCTCTTGTTTCTGTCAAACTGGGGAGCGAACTTCACACTTGCAGCCACATCAGAGTCTTCTTTAGATGCTGGCAGCAGCCTAATTCCAAGGCCCATCTTTCTGGCAGTGGCTTCTTCTTCTGCCACTCTTTTCCTTTGAGACTGAATAAGGCCAAAAGATAAAGGACACTTCAATAAATATAGAGATGGTTCAGGTGAATAACAAAATTGAAAAAATAAAGACAGGCGCAAATTAGTGGAGAGAAAGAGAACACAAAGGAAATTTGAGAGAGAGAGAGAGAGAGAGAGGGGTGTTAACATGGGAGATAACTTTTTTGTTTCGGGACCCGGTGGTGTGGCAACGAAATGAAAATTTCCAAATGTTGACATGAATTTTCTATAGGAATTGCATGTCTTTCATTTCGACATGCATTTCTAGCATGTTGATATGTTGGTGGGTCAGACTCTATAAAAGCATGCGACATGCATGTCATGGTTACCCCGATGATACTGGATTATTACACAAAAGTAGTAAAATAGAGAAAAACCCCACATCTGCAAGGAAAATTTTCAGGATTGATGAGGCTATAAAGAAGGAAGCCTCAGCCCCCCCAAGGCAATACGATTTTACAAGTTCACTCTTAAAATACTTGACGATTTGACTATAAGGTTTTCAAAGGTAAAATTAGAACCAAAAAATAAAACCCTAGGGGTCAAAATTTCAACAAGAACATCTTTTTCTCTTTGAGATGCTTAACGGTTCTGTTGAAATTTGTTAGTAAGTGAGCAAACTTGGGAATCAGCTATTACATTTATTGTTGTTTATCATATAACTGAGTTTTAATCTTACTAACACAGTTCGTACCAAGGCAAGTAGGGTCAGGAAAGTCAGAGGCTCAAAGCGGAGCATAATCACTCTAATACAAGATAACAACAGTAAATAAATAGATAAATTAAATAATTAAGGGTGAGGTTTGTATAGGGCTGAGGCTCTAAACAGCCGAAGTAAAGCGCACTTTCAAATAGTGTCGAGAAACGTGGTGAAATCTTTGTGATAGCCTCAAAATATATTTTCATCTCTAATTATAAAATTTAAAACTTCAAAAATAGTGTAGATTGAGCAAATCTATGAAAACTTGAAAATCTAGAAAATTGACGGTCCAAGAATGCATTACAAGATGCACTATTTCCAAATCCATTTTTTTCTCATGTCCATTTATCTTGAGGTTGAGATGATCAATTTGAGGATATTTGGGTATCAAAACAACCTCTTCTAGTGAAATTTTTGAAGTGCACCCTAATTTGATTGTTTAGAGCCTCAAACTTATATGAATTGTTTCCAATAATTAAAGGCAATACTTACTCTAATTTGAGCACGAAGGGTCCTGTTCAAGTGATAGTCATTGGCATGCTTGACATCTGATGCACGTTGGAGACGGACCAAGAGTGGATCTGCTTCCTTCTTCTTTTGCAGATCTGCTTCCTGATGTTCAAGCCTATAGAAGGGATCTGCGAGCTTACCCCTTTCTGCAAGCCAATGTCCATACGTGAATAATGAAAATAAATACCAAAAATTAGTTGCTTCTTGTGATTACTTTAAGAGAGTGTGCAGTGTATGGTGCTCCAAGCTACATCTACCACAGAGTCAGAAATTAACTGCACCCAAGTGAATAACCCTGTGGAACCCACTCGGGTTAATATCCGACTTCTGTCGTTGTGGATGTTAACTTGGAGAACCATTCACCACATTCTCCCAGGAATGTTATATACTTTCCTCATGCTAGAATACAGAGTACCTCCAACCAATTATCAGAAGGAATTAAGTAAAAGAAATGAAGAATGTCCAACCTTCATCAGCAGGAAGCTCAAGAGTTTCAGCATCTTCGACATCGAAGACCTCAGTTTTACGTTCAGCACCACTGATTATGACATACTCACAATTCTGTGGGTCTGTCTGGATAACCATCTCGTGCTTGCAACATGCAGACTTCATTGTAAAGCTCCATATCTGATGATCACACACAAGGAGAGTTCAGCAATGAGTCACCAAGTTCTTATTAGCAATCGACAAAAATTGAGCATCACATTGGTCTATTTGAGCCTAAAAACTCATAATTCAGACAGTGGTAACACATTCTTTTGTTAGTTCCCAAAACATATGTTTTCTTTTTCTTGGCAAACTATTCGACACATTTATAAATATACAGCCAAAGTCTAACAACGCGCAAGCACAACATGAGACCTAATTCAAAAGGAATCCCAACAAAAGAAAGTAATAGTATGCTCATTAGGATGCTTTCATCTATCACAGGAAAGCAAAAATGCAACACGGTCCAGCAGCTGCACGTTTCTTGTTTTAGTTTTTACCAAATTTTTTCATCCTTCATAAGAAATCAAGTCATGATGTCAACAAAAGTCATTGAACAAGTGTAGGGATAGCGTATCACTTGTATGGTTCTTTTTTACTGTGAGTTAAAACAAATGTGCAAATAAGGATTGCCAATGTGTGCCAACAGAGAGTTTGACAAGGAATCTACTTGGATTGAGAGTCATAGTTGGCACTGATAGCATCCATAAATCAAAGGAAGCTATATTTAGAAACTTCAATACAAATCTATTGAAGTACGACTCTTAACTCTATCCTCACCAGATGCAGGTAAATATTGGCAAGATATTTAAAGCCTTTGATTTTCCTGAATTTGTCTTAAGCTCCAGAAATTAAAGAAATAATGCAGAATAATTTTACAATCTGAGTTTCACACACTTCGAAATTTTCTTAGATTGTCGGCATCGACGAGATCTTTCTTCAAACATGTTATTACCACAAACGGGGCCTTAAGACAAAGAAAACAAAGGGAAACCATTAGCAATTAAGCTGGGCCCCAGGACAACCAACAATGAAACTGGACTCGGAGAATTTTCAGCACCCATGGACCGAAAGTCAATAGCATAGGCCAAGTACAAGAGCACCAAGGGGAGTGCAAACCGCAACTGAATGTAGCGATCACAAAAAATTTTGATGGTCGTACTGAAGGAAATCTAGGGCATGACATGTATCCAAGAAAGTAATATCCAAGCTCACACTCATCTCACTCAAAACCTACACATTCCATAGGGGCCAGTTTAGTATTGCCCATTGCCACAAAAACCATACCTTGGAGTTCAACAAACTTTACTACAATAAGTGCAGTATCAATAGTCCAATCGTGCCCCCGATAGTGTGTGTGTTGGGGGTGGGGGTAGCAACCTACTCAAGTTGAAGCAAGGCACTACTAGCAGGCATCCAAATTTTATAAACATGCATCTTGGATCCTTGTGTTGGGAAGTGTGACTACATTGCCTAAATGGTGCAAGGGTGATGTAGAAGTCCCATAGAGATCAAAACACACGGTGGAGAAACTGAGATATTGCGGTGCTCATAGTTGACGTAGAAGTTTTGGAGATTTAATGCATACCTAAGGGACAACTTCCATAACAAATAGCTTGGCTTTTCGGTGGGCATAGGGAAGAGAATGATTGAAGCAATACGGCTTTTAGGTGGGCAAAGGGAAGAGAATGATTGAAGCAATAGGACTACTTCCCCCCCCCTCCCCCCTTCACCACCACCCCTTTTACATGGTGGCCGGCCAAGCAAACCGCCCAAGCAGCAGCCCCCGTCTTTTCTAACATTGTTCCTTATGATGCAACATACACAAAATATAGAAAAGAAATTTGAAACATAAACCAACAACATTGTGTGAAACTAGATTCCTCATGCATGCCCATCAACAGGAACATACTTGTGTGTGCCAGTTGAACAACACACCAACAATACGGGCTGTATAGACATGTACTACAATAAGTGCAATCAGTAATGATGTCAATTAGCTATTTTCTTTTTGTGAGGTGAAAATTATTCTATGATCAAGAGAAGCCATGTAATATAATCATCTTATATATTGGAGAGGGAAAAATCATCATACCTTTGTAGAATAATAATTTCCAACTTGCTTCTTTTCCGCATTAAACCTTACCCCCTTCGCAATCATAGCATTGCAACCTCCACACCAAATATTGAAGGGCATCTCGAACCTGAATTTGTCCAAATGTTCTAGTTCGTATCATAGCATTTTTTATATAAAAAATGAGGACAGGTACATATTAGGAGTACATGATAGTACATCAGCTATCCAATTATTTACAGTCCCAATATTTTGGCAGTTCGCTGATGAAAGAGGAACTGGCAAAAAATCTCAACCACAGAAAGATATCTAAATGCTTCCAATTTTGAAGGAAAAAATTAACTTTGCAAGATGTCCTTTAGGACATCACCCAAATAAAATGATTAAACTATTTATTTTTATATGATATGATCATGTGATTATCTTTTTTTCCTTTCCCAATTTAAGGACATTAACTGCAAGCAGTCCTTGTGATGCATGGGCACACACACACACACAGCCTTCTAATAAAATGTTAGGGCTCTCTTTTCAACAGAAATAATAATTGAATTTTAGGATGAATGCATGAAGTTTGAATATGTACATTTTCGAATGATGTATTATGCAATTTAGTTTGAGGAGAAAAGACGGACACCTTCAATGTATTAATTTCCTCAATTCATCATCATCATCCAAGCCTTACTTCCAAGTCTGCCTCTTCCTCCTCTTCTTCTAACCCGCTCTTACTCTTACTCTGTGCAAATGAGGCCCTAGGAGTCTTGGCTGCTCTAGCCTCTATCTAGTGCCTCTTAACCCTTTTCTCGCTTTTTGTGTTTCACTTAACTCAAATATTGCTTAATCTCCTCCCTGGTAGCCTCGGGAGCATTTTTACATGCGGCAACATCCCCCTTAATACCGGTAAGGTATTTCTTGAACTGGTAAATACCCCTATTAGTATCATTTCCACAATAATTATACCTTATACAACTTTTGTCATTTAGATTCGGGTTATGCCCATACTTCCAACCTAGATCACCATTTGTAGAAGAACTTAGAGAAGATATTTCCATATAACAACGTTCATTTTCTTCCTTTTTGTAGTATTACTAAATTCAAATATTATCGAATCTCATCCCTAATAGCTTCAGGAACCTTTTTACAAGAAACAACATTCCCTTTAAAATGGCTAAGTGTGTTTTAATACCCCCATTGGTATATTTTTCACAAAATTACACCTTACACAATTTTTATCGATTGGTTTCGAGTTATAACCATACTTCCAACCCGAATCACCACTTATAGAAGAACAAGAAATAGACATATCCAAATGACAAGCTTTTGTTCCTGTTTGTTTTTTACAAGACTCATATATTGCTTAATCTCCTCTCTAATAACTTCTGGAACATTTTTACAAGGGGCAACATTGCCCCTAAATACCGATAAAGTGTTTTTTGAACTGGTTTATACCCTTATTAGTATCTTTTTGCAATAATTACATCTTATACGATTTTTGTCATTTGGATTTGGGTTATAAGCATACTTCCAACCCGAATCACCACTATCAGAAGAACCTAAATAAGACATTGAAATAACAAATAACATCTCAAATATGAAATTTTTTAAGCAATCTTTTTGCTCGATATTCAATCTTCAAAGTTTGAGATGTTTTCCAATCTCAAATATTTCCCAAAAACACCCTAATAAGCTTAAAAAATCATCAAAATCAAATCCAAACCAAAAAGACGATGTTTGGAACGATTTTTCAAAACTCTAAAATACTCGATCTATCTCTTATAAATGTGAAAAAACGATTGCTTTTTAATTTTTTTTCCACTCTAAAGATAAACAAAGGAATTTAGGTCACACAATAACCTAAACCCCCCCTTTTTCCCTAATTTAGGGGTAAAAATGACAAAAAAAAAACTCGCATCAAGAGGCATTTTTGCCCCTGGGCAAGTGCCTAGGGTTGGCTGATGGGTGCCCGCCTAGCCAAGGCCTCAAACGTCTAGGCAGCCATCTAGGGACTCCCCGCCCAAGACACCCACTTAAACTTGGGCAATGCGCTCTGACCCCCTAGAACGCCTACATGTTAGGTGGGCCGCTTTTTTATTCACTATTGTAGAATCTTTCTTAACTCATCCACAACCCAAGCAAAGAGATGTTGGCTCACTGCTAACCCCTGATGTAAGCCTATTGCCAAAGAAAACTCACTAGTGTTTGCACTAGTTATCATCACATTAGTTAGCTCCCTCATGCATATCCCTAACCATTTCAATATATCCTCGAGTCTCCTTTCTTTTCCAACACCCACCAAATTATCTCTCTAAGTACCCCATCATATACTTTCTCTTAATCAATGAAAACCATGTGGAGGTCTTGTCGTTTACCTCTAAACTTCTCAATCAATTGCCTAAGTAGGAAATTAGCCTCAATGGTTGACTCCATCACATAAATCCAAACTAATTTTCTGATATACTCGCTTCATGTCTTAATTGTTGTCCAATCACTATCTCTCACAGTTTCTTAGTGCAGCTTATATATTTAATCCTTGATAGTTCACACAACTTTGTATATCTCCTTTGTTCTTATAAATAGGTACCACAATATTTTTCCCCATTCGTCTGCCATTATCTTTGTTCTCAAAATCTTGTTGAACAACTTGGTCAACCAGAATATGCCGATCTCTCTCATGCCATCTGATCCTAAAGCCCTTCCTATCCTCAATTTCTCATCTATCTCAAAGCTTCTTTCACTTCAGATATCCTAATCCTACGAAAATATCTATGACCTCCAACCTCATGTATGCCAATGGTTCCTCCTAATACTGAGCTATCAAAGTGGCCATCATTTAACTTTGGAGAATAGATTTTCCACCTTTCATTGCCCTCGCCATCCTTCACCAACGCACTTTGATCGTCACTCTTAATGCAGTTAACATGATCTAGGTCCCTACACTTTCTCTCACTCATGTTTGCTAGTCTGATAACATTTCTCGATTGAAAGCTGGTAGTGTGTATCATTTATTTCTCATAAGAAATAGGATTGAGTGTCCCCCACCCTCAGATAAGGAATGAGGAATAGATAAAGTTACTCCCTCGCACCTCGAAGGATCCATATTTATTGAGGGTATTACAACATTTAAAAATTACCAAGTGTGAAGTCGCATATAAATATTTAAGAATTTTAGAAATTTAACGAAGATCATTTTTAGGGAAACCCAATACATGCCCCTCCAAACCCCATGACACGTTCAATTAGCATTTTTCAAATCCCTCTCAAACCGTTTTACCGTTATGTTCTTCCAATAGTTTTAGCTACTTAAGAATTTTAATAGTCTAGCAAATTCTTTGAGATGTGCCTGTCTTAAAAGTTGGATTTGCTATTGAAATGGGAGTGCGAGAAGAAGATACGTTCATATTGGAGGAAACAAATTTAAGCAGAACTAGTGGCTACTAAGGCTTTCCACTTGCGATCCCATTCAAGAAAGTTGCAAAAGAATAACCATGATGAAACAAGTAAGAGTTAATGGATTTGAAAAATATGAGAAGCTTAAAAACACAAGAAGACGTTATTAATAGTTAGCATAGACCTAGGACGACATATTATACACATACCAATCCTTCAAAATTTCTAATCAATTTTGCAAATTATGGTGCAAAAAACTGCTTTAGAAAAACATAGATACACATTTATAGCCTATTAACTTACCTTATAATCAGAATACCCTGGTCTATCTTTCTGGCTCTCTCTCTCAAAGCATGTTGTCCATGGAACTTGTTCAATGACCCCTGAAATAAAGAAGACATATCAAAATTGTAAGATACAGCAAAGGATAAGATACAAATTTATCATATTTTCAGATCTTCAAAGCCATTGAAGAAATCCAAATGAAATTATCAGCAAATACCTGACTGGGAGTCCATTCTGGGGGATAGTAAAAGTTATCTGCTCTAGCAGCTGCCAACGAAGACTGTAATAATAGGAAAGTATAGTGAGCAACACCTCAAGCAGTAACAGAAAAATAAGTAACCAAAACAACAGAATGGGAAATATTAATTTGTATGGCATAGTATTATCTAGAATGAAACTCTGCAAGAACGAAGAAAACTCACCAATCCAAGAAAATGAAAACTAAGGAGCAGATAGTGTTTCCATAATAAACCCCAAATAAGGTCATCTCTCTCTTTTATTAAAAAAAAAAAACCAACTGGAACTGGTTAAATCATGCTCATACTTGTGCAAAATTGTACAGTAGTAAGTATACCTGACCAGATTCTATTGCAGTAGTACATGGCTGTATAAAATTGACAATCACTACCTTTTCTTGAGGAACTCAACAATCACTACTCTCTCTCTCTCTCGATATATATATATATATATATATGCAAATTGATAATCAGTAATATCATCTGTAATTTCTACTGGTTCAACTTATCCATATTCCCCAATGATCTATTTCTAAAACATCCAATACATACTCTGGGAAATAGGGATGTACCATCAACAACAATGTAATCACACAAACCAACATCACATGCACACATATCGCAATAGAGAGAGGGGGGAGAGAGAAAGCACACACCCCAATAGAGAGAGAGAGAGAGAGAGAGAAAGGCATTCCATGAGAAGCACAGATATCAAAGTAAACCTAAAGCCTAATCCTTAAGCCACAATCCCATATTCTAAATTTGCCACAGAAAACAAACGAACCAATCTTGTAATAAGTGCAATCTAATAATCAGAATCATATAATATGTACAATCATGCAATCAGAAATCGCCGATTGTGAAGAAGCATCAAATTGCAGGGGAAAAAAACCCTAATTTTGACTTATGGAAAACCATAACCCTAATGATCTCAATCCCCTATAGAATCACATTCTTTTGGAATGAGATAGATATTTGTCATAAAATCCATAATCAAGAAACCCTAATATCTGAATTTGGAGTTTCCAGAAACCCTAATATCTGAATTTGGAGTTTTAATAACCAGAGAGAGAAACAGAGGAAGAGAAGTAAATAGGATATTCTCATAAAAGCATAACTTAAAAAAACCAAATTACCCAAAGGAGAGAGAGATGTTACCATTTTGATTGGAGAACAGAGAAGTTGCAGAGAAAGGAAGGGAGTCACCAATTTCCCGAACCACGATCTGACTCGCGTTTGTTCTTCAAATTCGTCGGCGTTCTTATTCGAAAAGCTCCTTTACATGGACCGTTTAAATAGGTGGGAGAGGAGATGCACGATCAATCACGTACACCATGCTCCCTCGGGAGTATAGTTTACTTGTACACCCCTGGTTAAATGACCAACTTGCTCTTTTTTAAGAAAATTTGTTCCATGCATCCACGGGCGCATTTCAAAATTTACGTCCCCGAAGGTATAAACATTCATCTTTAAAGATGCTTTCAAATAGGTTGTTCATCTAATAACATTAGAAATTAATGGTCCAAATATTTTGTCCATAAAATTACTTTTCTAATTTTTAAAATTTGTTTATGTTTTCATATTCAAGATCTGGATGTTAGAGATTATATGTCCTTAAAAATTAAGTCCAAAAAGCCATCTTATAAATAGATTTTTAGGACTCATTTCTACAAGGAGTCATTGAAACCGTGCCCTTTTTCAATTTGACATTTTGGTAACTGATTTAGAATGACTAGATGATATTTTTAGAAATTAATTTAAAATTTAATTTTTTTAATACTTAGATCTCTCTTTAAAAATTGGATGGTCTCTGTTCAATCTTGAGACGTTATTTTCTTACAAGTGCTTAGAAGGTGCAATTAAGACTTTTTTTTATTGATGTTAATCTATGTTAAAGAAATTATATCCCCAAAATTAAAAAAATTTAAGATCATGAGACTAATCCTAAGTAGAGTTTTGCTCAAGGGAGTAAATGAACAGTATTCTCCTTTAGGAGTAGAATGTCTTTTGGCACCAGTTTTGTACAAGAATATTAATGATCATCTTTAGTCTCTGAAATCCCACGGCTCATGAATATATCACTCAAAATCGTTATTGGGAAACCATTGAGTCAGTCATGCGATTATGAATCTCAAAAAATAAGTATTAAAAATATTGTACCTTGTAACACATTGCCTAAACTGATAATTATTAAGTATTCAAATATCATCATATTTGCACGACATTAGGAACATAAAGTTTCATCATATCTTGGAACTATTTTAGAATGACTAGATGATTATTTGTAAAAACTAATTAAAATTTTAAGTTTTCTAATACTTAGCTCTCACTTTCTAAAAATTGGACGGTCTCTATTCAATCTTGGGACATTGTTTTCTTACAAGTGCTTAGAAGGAGCATTTAAGACTTTTTTTTTATTGAGGTTAATCTATGTAAAAGAGGTTATATCCCAAAATTTAAGATCCTGAGACTAATCCTAGGGTTTTACCCAAGGGGTAAACGAACATTATTCTCCTTTAGGAGTAGAATGTCTTTTGGCAACAATTTTACTGTTATATACAATAATATTAATGATCATCTTTGGTCTCTCAATTCTGACGGCTGATGAATATATCACCAAAAATCGTTATTGGAAAACCATTGAGTCTGTCATCACCACACAGTTTTGAATCTCAAAAACTGAAAAAAAATTAAAAACAGTGTATCTTGTAACACATTGCCTAGACTTGTCATTATTAAATATTCAAAGATATCATATCTGCACAACATTAGGAACATAAAGTTTCATGATAGGGGCAAAAACAGATTTTGGAACTAATATAACATATAAGATTTTTAAAATGATTAAATCAATCATCTCGATCTTGACAATTATAGATCTTAAAAATTAAGTATTCAAAATGGCATATCTTGTAACACATTAGTTAGACCATTTATTTTCAAGCGCTTATAAATCATCATATCGACACCACATTAGGAACTTAAAGTTTCATGGGGGGTGAAAACAGATTTTGGGGCTATCATTTTTTAACACAAGGACTATATTTTCCGGTAGGTAATGCATCTTCTCTATTTGTTAATAACGAATTGTCTATAAAGAGTTCATTTATCTTTTATACATAGAGGTCACAATCATTCATTTCCCTTCAATTTCAAAATGGGTGATTGTAAGAGTGTCATTGAATAGACACAAAGCTCCAACAATATTCTCAGACTTTATGACCCACCTAAGCCATCCAATTTAACATCTAATAAGTGGGAATGATTATGACTTCTATGTACAAAAGATAAATGATCTCTTTGCAGACAATCCCTTGTAATAAAGTTGTGTTATTATTCTAACCTCATTCGTCTAAAAAGAATGTTAAATGTCCTTTTGGGGATATACCTGCTAGAGCGATCTACACCATCTATTTACTTCAACGATAGAGAATCGTGGCCCAAAAAAAAAAAAAAAGGTAT